GAAGTTACTTATAAGCAACCCCCACTAGAGATACTCTAAGAGCACTTTTAAAGGAGTTATTTATAAGCAACCCCACTTGCCATATCAGCCTGAGAAAAAGTAAGTTACTTAAAATTTATCAAAATTACTTATTTAAGCACTAATTCTTAAAAAATAAAAAGAAAAAGTGAGGCTGACGAGGTTGCTTATACGGAATCCCACTAAAAATGGTCTAACATCTCACTTTTGGTTGAGCCTACATCCTATGAGCAAGATTGTACAAACCTTTAATGGGTTGTCACTATGCAATCAAAAATTCAAGCACAATCATACATGGACCATGATGCCTCTCCCTAATGATCATCATCCCATTGGTTGCAAATGGGTATAAAAAAAAATTAATTATGACTGGCATTATTTATGCTTCCAAAACAATCTAAGTGAATAAAACATATTTTTCTCCCATTTGCTGCCAACTACATTTAGCTAGCTATACCAGCAGGCAGTGTGGTCTGCGTGGTGCGTAACTCGAGGCTCCCATGAGGTTGAATGTATACTAATAATAAAAATATTCTTTTGTATAATTTAAATTTTAATGATTATATATAATTTTTAATAATTGTACAAATTATAAATGATAAATTTATTATTATTTTTCTTTTTTAACAGAAATATATAGTGCCTTTTTTTCTCACTAATTCATAATAAAAAAAATGTTTTTATTTTTGAAGTAAAAAATGATGTCATTTTTGATTGGCAAGCAGACTGGTCTATTAAACATTTTATATATATATATACTCGCGATGTCCGTTTCTAACTATTAAAAGTAAAATATAGTATTTCTAATCGAATTACAAACCTCAAGGCTCAATTTTTAATTAAAGGATATAAATATTGAATTTTTTTTACAGTACAAATTAAAAAATTATTTATGTTAATCAATCTGTTTAATTATGAGCTTAAACAAGTTTGTAAGATACCCTTTTTTTAATATATGGATCAGCCCACCATAGGCAATAGTAAACTTACTCAAGCCCAACTGTAATCCCATCTTAGCTTTTCTAGATTGTCTTTATATATAAGAAGCTATTTTTATGTTTCATCAGGTAAATAAGGCAAACTAATTAAGAACTTCTTTCTTTTCTTTTTATACTTGGGTGGAAAAATCATGTAACTTCGAGACGTGATACAATATATGGTCTGGTAAATGATGTTAAAGCTTTTTTTTCAACAAGAATATTTTTAACCGAATATGGGAAATTAATTGCTCTCATATCACCAAATGATAGAGGGACTGAGGGAGACTGAAAATTCAGTTAATGTGAAAAAGAAAGAAAAAAGAATTATGGGATGATAAAATGTGTGATATAACAGTCACTAAGATAAAGAAAGTAGATAGTTCACAAGGAAAATATGTTTGAAAAAGGAAAATGAAAAGAATAGTTAGGTTAGTGCATGAAGACGCAAGTAAGAAAATAATATTCGTGTTGCTAGGAATAATGTTTCTCTAATTTCATGTTAATGAAATCTTGGTTGAGTTAAAGTTTGGATGTGGTTTTGGTTTGGATATACGAATTAATATACAAATTGGTGTGTATTTTCCTCTACCTTATACATTCCTTATTTTACTGTACTAACAATGAAAGGAATGTGAAAACTGTTATATTTTAAATATAAAAGGTTTACATTAAATTGTCCAACCTTGACTGAACACATCAAAAGATGTGAAAAATAACAAAAAAACAAAGAGACAAGTCAGCATGTCAACATACATGAGGGACGAAGATAGAAAATTTTACCAGCTAAGAGATGAAATAATGAATAAAGAAGACAAATAAAATACTTTTATCATATGATAGGTGAGAAAATGGGCGAGGCATTTAATGCAACAACTATATTTTCCATCATTCATGTTTTTGAATAATGCAAAAAGCTATCTCAATGTATATAGTTCTCTACAAAAGTCTTGTGAGTTAACAAGCTACAGAGAAGCGGGCACCATCAATAGAAAACGATCAACGATCAACTTCTACCGTGGATCAATACATCATTGGTTTACAAATGGACCAATTGGTTTATGAATGGACCAATAATGCAAAGTATACTTTTCATGTAATTCACAGGTGGAGAAATAAAAAGTATTGTTATATATACGAATAATTAAATTGAACAGTTCAAATTTAAATGATGATAAATTTTTTATTGATGTATTAATTTCATTTTTTATGGTAAATGATCATTTTGTCAGAAAAAACCTCACCACCCTCATTATTAACTCTAATCTACTTCTTCGACACCCCCACTGTTATCTTCATCAACCAACTTTTCCTTCTTCAATTCTATTAACTTCGATCTCCTTCTTCAACTCTGTCAGTCTCAACAACGACATCGCCTTCAACCTACGAGGCTTTGTCCCCCTACTCCTTCGACGATGGACACCTCAAGATTGATGACAAGATCATCGTAGCCTACGAGGTTTATGGCCCCGCCTATAATAGCATTTTCGTCCTTGACAATGACGTCTTTGTGATGGATGCCAAGGTGAAGGAGACGAGGTTCGAGTTTGGGACAAAAAAGGAGAAGGTGCACGACAAAAGGGAAGAAAACGCAAGCACCAAGGAGAAAGTATAAGCCCCAAACCCCTAACACTTCTTCCTAGTAAGCATTGACTTCGACAACAATAGCGAACCCTAGCTCCAGCGAGGAAGCTACGTGAACGAGATCCCTTCACCTTCCTTTTTCTTCGATGAAATCCTATCGAACTTTGCTGTTGAAATTGTTTGCGCCTAACACAAGAACCCCATGCCACCATCGTCTCCCACAACTTGGCTCCCTCTATCGTCTGTGCCAAGCCCGTTGTCGTCGATAACCACCACTACCTTATTTGCGACGCTTGCACCAAGCCTACTATTGTCGACAACCACCACCACCTTATCGTCTAAAACCCCTACGAGTGTGTGTATTGTTGAAGTGAAAACCTAACTTCTTAAAATAAAAGACTTTTTAATAATTTTTAATATTTTAAATAAATAAATAACTACTATTCATTTATACATCGACAATATGAAAATTTGTCCTCCATAATCACTACATAGAAGAAAGAAAAAAAAAAGAACAATAAGGACTTGGATGTGTTATGATTATTATTTGTATTTTAGGTTTTTATAAATTGAGGGTTTCTAGAAAAGGACAATTCATTTGTCTACCATTTACGTACTATTTCAAATAGATTTACAAAATGTTTTAAGAAATCAACAAAGTAGCTAGTAGCGTCAAAACGAGTAGCCCGGTCTGACCCGCCACGAGTTGGCTACTTGGTGAATCAATCTAACCTAACTCACTTTTAAGTGATCAAAAAAGAAAAAATGAGTTTCGACCTGGCCTACCACAAATTGGTGAGTTAAACGAATTGTCTCACTTAATTAAAAAAAATACCTTCCACACCAAGTGATGGTGCAAGATGCAATGGTGCAGAACGCGGTGACATGACGTGGTGGTGCAAAGCACAGTGACATGGTGGCATGAGACATAGTGGTGTGGGATGCAATGGCGTGGGATGTGGTAACAGTGGTGTAGGCATGGCGATGTAGTGGAGAAGGAGATGAAGAGTGAGGGAGATGGATGATGATCATGAAACCTTACCGGAAGGAGAAGGGGAGGGCTACTCTTAGTATTTTGTTTGAAACTTTGGCAAAAATGAAAATGAAAATAACCCTACAATAACATCATGTTGTGATAATGTAACCTAGAGCTCATAGGCTGAGTTTTTTTTTTTTTTTTTTTTTTTTTGGGGG